ATAAGCAAAAAATCATATCCGATCTTTTTTGTAGATCGTTCAATTCCCTACAAGAATTTGTATTGATTTATACAACTCACTGATTCGTTAAAACGCAATAAAATTACAAACAAAAAAATATTTTTTTTCCGTGTTATTTAAATGGAAAATAAAAAATCGTCACCTCTTAATATTAATATTAAGAGCTCAAACTTTATCAAAATTTTTTTTTCGTCATCTTGGACGATATTTTCATGGTAACTAAAGAAAAAAAAGTAAAAGTTTTTTTTGGCACACCCTAATACCCTATACCTTTTTTTTAAGCTACACAGGTTAATTAAATTATACAAAAGGCGTAATTACATATCTATTAAAATGACATTTAAAAATTGGGGAAAACATTAGCGATTATTAAATAATTTGAAAAAAACTGAAAACTAGTCAAAAACCAAAAATCGTTATAACTTTACAACTGGCAATTTTGAAAAAGGTAAGTTTTAAACGTAAACAAACGCATTTATCCACATTTTTATCCAATTTTTGATTTTTTGCCTCCTAGATTTTGAGATACCACCTCCATATTTTGATTTCCTATAGCCGCCATATTAGAATTGTACATGGTTAGATAGAAAAAAATCAAGGAATCCAAACATAGTAGCTAAGAAATTGAATGAAAATGTAGATTAATGTGTAATTTTACATGTAAAACTTACTTTGTTTTAAATTTCCCACGAAAAACAAACTTATGACAATTTTTGGTTTTGTAAGTTTGTTTTTTCAAATATAGAAAGGTTTTCAGTTTTTTAAATATTTAAAAGATTTTTAGTTTTTTTTTAAATATTTGAAAGGTGTTTTTTTATGTTAATTATAATTACTATAGGCCTTATAATTACTATAGGCCTTGTAGCTCTTCAAATTAAAAATACCCATAGGCGTATACAAATACAATGAAATTGGGTTGAAAATATTTTTACAACTATCCCAATATTTGTAGAAACAACAAAAAGGGTGGAAAATAAAATAACACAGACTCCCACGATAAAGACTTTTGCAAACAAAGACATATTAAAAGGAAAAACGAGATCAAATCCTATAATTATTGCATCAGTTTATTTTTTGCATGTTATCTCGGTTTTTAAACAGATTGCCAATTGTTAGGCATTTTTATAAGCCCAATGAACCCACATAAATCATAATACTTAAATTAAGTTCATTCAACAATTGAATGGTGTCTGCACTGTACAAAGAAACATTCTGTTTGCAAATAAAAGCCATTATACGTGAGCGCATAGTAAAGTATTTGATATGTAATAAACAAGTGCTGCTTAAATTATATCAGTATATAAAAATGCTTTAAATGAAAATAATTTTATTAATTTATAGACTTTATAGTCTAACTATATTTATGAAAAAAAAACACTTATACACAAACTAGTTTTATTAACAATTTAACAATTGTTATAGCAATTTTTATGAAAAAAAAATATAAAAAGGCTTTTTTATAGTCCTATTTAAATAATAAAACAGGCCCTAAAGCTGCTATTAGTATATTAGGCAACAGAATTTTATACATAAAATATGACATTTGTCAGACGGTTCTAACCTCACTCACAAAAAATCATTGAAGTCGCTTTATTTTTCGACATTTAACGTGTTTGGAAAAATTATTTTATTATTTGTTAAAGTAACCATTAAAACCATCGTTTTCTTAAGAAGTGAAGTGGATGCAATATATTTGTATTTTTAATTTTATTAATTAAAAAGTATATTTAAAAGCCCAAAATGTATGTAATGGTAATGTTAAAAACCTTAATTGGCCGTTAAACGGTAACACTGTCAAAAAGTTTATGCTCTTCCGTTATTTGGTAACTTTGTAATTAAACAAATTATGGGATTATCGGTTTTCCAAATTATTAAACAATATTGCATCGGAACTTTCACTTGACTGTCTTTTTCGAATAATTGCAGGAAAAAGTGCAGGTGTTTTCATATTATAGTAATTTTGTTAAGTGGATTTGCTTTCGTTATTGTTATGGGTACAAAAGATTATATCCCATGTAGTTCAGTGATTAAATTTTGTTCAAAAATATACGAAAACCGTGACAGAAGATTACTGGAATTAAGTTATTTACAAGGAAACTCGTACCAGGTGTTTGTATTATTTTATATCAATTTGTAATTTGGGTTGTGAATGGAGGAACTTAAGATGCTAAAAATATGTTTAACTTTAGCCAAAATAAATTCTTGCCACGTCAAATAACAAAAATTTGATATATGCGCTGCTAAATTTAATAAAAGATCCGTCAATCAAGGCAAACATACGCAGCTGTTTATTTTAAAAACAGAGTCACCCTAAGTAAATAATGAAAAACATGTGCTCACACATCAAGTATTTGCGCTGGCTATAAGTACGTTTATTAATTAAAAACTACTTTAAACTGATTGAATTTCAATGAAACTGGATAGGTTTGTAAAACACCATTATGATAATCAACTTATTGGTAAAGTCTATGGTATACCATAGTAAAAAGTAAATATTAGATTATGTCAACAATTAAATTTAGTAAATATTGTATGTGTTATATTAAATATAAATAGATGTTTTAAACCTAAAATAGGCTCCTAAAACGCATAATTTTAGGTTTTTCAAGCATAAAAACACGATGCTTGATTATTACCCCATGATTAAACAATTTAATGTAATAAGAATTGCTTTTTATACTTGGTAAGCTTTTTAATTAAATAAATAAAAATATATTACACAATTTTGAAATGCCTAATTAACTACTTGCTAATGACAATTTATATGCGAGTTATTTTTCAATGTTTGTTCACCCGCAACACCAATCCCATCCCGGTAAACGGAAACATATGTAAGAATATGGCGAAACATTTTTAATAATATCACACTAAAAATTCTCACGATTTTTTTGTATAGGAAGTGATTTTCATTTAAGGTTAACTAATTAAATTAATGGCCATTAATATTTAACAGTATTTTTATGTGAATTAACTTGTAAAATTAAAACATCATGTTGAAATATACTTTATCTAAACTAATAATACTAACAAGATACAAATTATAACGCCTCAAGTTATCTTGTTAATGTTAAGACTTGTCCATTAGTTTTACTAACATAATATCTAAATTAACTTAGCATTAAGCTGGCCCTACACGTTACAATAAGTTTGAGCAGTTTATGACACATTACCCTTGTTTTTATCTGATAATACTTTAAGGTTTAAGGCATTTAGACACTTGCAGAGAATACCTTACCTTTAGTGTAAAGGCTTTATTCAGATTGCTTCTTATGTTAAGTTGCAGGACTTGGTGACGAGCTAACACATCATGACTCAAAAAATTGTATTCCAAATATCCATCATCGATCTTTTTAATAAAACGGCCAAGTACGTCGATGTACTGGCATCATCTGATCACTAACTCAGTCAATTTAAATTTTGGTAATAAACGTCGTATTGTCCTCATAGATGGATGATTAAACGACTCTAATATTCACTCAAGGTGCGGTAAGATTGACGTAAAAATTATACGTTCTATAAAATTATTTTATTCTTTATGATAGTTTTATAGAACTGTAGTTAAAAATAACATTTTGTTTACATCTCACCCGCTCTTATTTATAATATGTATATGTGATGCGAAAAGGGAAGAGTTATTATTATTTTTAAATACAGCACTCAATTTTAAACTTTTTGATACCAAATTAACAGGGTAGAAGATTAAAAATTTGCCCAAAAATTAAATGAAGTACCCTCTAGCAGGTAAGAAAACTTTTAGGAATTTAGAAGACGTCTTTAGCTTTCTGAAAAGATAAAATTATAAAAATCTATTTCGACCCTAATCAACATTTTAGTCCCTCGTGCAATTTTAGCTGAGCGACAAGAGTTTTAAAATACTTATAAGATTAATTATAGTGTTCAAATGGAATTAAAACTATTCAAATATTGGAACTATTCGAATTTTTCCAATTGTTTGAATTTTAGAAAATTTTATTTTCTATTAGATAATTTAAATTAAAAAAAATGTTTTGTTAAAAAAATGATTATAGGTATTTAATATTTTTGTGTTATTGGAAAATTTGAATTTGAATATTCGAACCATTCGAATAATTTAAATAAATTTAATAGTTTAAATATTCGATTTGATTCATATTCAGTAATTCGTAAATACAAATATTCTCACAGCTCCAATTAATGTGTACATGTACTTGACATACAAAAAAATAAACATGTCAATCACTCGAGCTATAAACGAACATGTAAAATGCAAAATCTGGTGTTTAAATAAAAATCATGGGCTGTTATAGCCTCAAACAATGTGGATATCGTTTTTGTAAAAAAAAGGCAAATCTCAATTTTGTAAAATTTGGTCCTTGTCCGATTATTGCACCAAACCCTTTGATTTAAATATGCAAAACATCAATCTGTTAATGTTTTATTATGATTAGCTACTCAAGTGGCCAAACCCTAAATCCGTATATTTCTAGTACATGGGAATTGTTTTGTAACGGTAACTGAATTGATAGATACACCTTTAAGGAATTTTGGTTTTAATATGCCATTAATGACTCAGTTCAACTACACATAACATTTCCAACATTTCCTCGTCAAGCAAAAACTTTGACAGCCAAAGATTTATAGAAATGTCACCTGTTTGAATTTGAATTAACCTAAATTTAATTAAATGTAGGTTTAATGCTGCCTTCTTGATATTGCAATTAACAGTTTTAATTATGTTCGATTACAGGAAAATGCTGTGCAAAATAAAAGTTTAAATTGATTTACGTAACTGGGTTAATACAAATATTTTGAGATTAATGTAATAAAAAGTTATGATGTATGTTTTAACATCGAATATACAATGTATTGGATAATAATCGTTTATTATCATTCAGAAATTTATTTTGTGTTGCCTTTATACTTTGTACTGAAACCAGTACGATAAATAATATTAGACATATCAATTTACAAGGTTACAATAACAATTTTCTCTTTTTCAGGTTCATCAAACAAACGCTTAGAAGTAGCCAGGCCTAAACGGATTACCGAGCTACCGGATAAACTTTTGATGTCAGGCATAAATTTGCCAGGTAATAATTATTTCACTATACATATTTAAAAACGTTTGGGGATTTAGGAGTACAGTACTTATACCGCCTACTTAAAAAAAAGTGTTTTTAATATTTGGACTAAAGTATTTAAAGATACAGTAAATTTGACCTGAAAAAAAAATTAAAAATGATTGTTGTACAAAAGTATATGCTCTTTTTACAAGCTTGCTTCGAATGTCTGTCCTTTAGTATGGTTTAAAATTTGTAATTCATTTTCGGTCTTTTGTGGAGCGCGCATCCCTCATGAAACAGTGTGAAATATATCTGACTTTACGGCCCAGAAAAGGCATGATTGGATAAAAAATATTTCTGTTTTTCTCGATAATATTATTTTATTTCTTAAATTGTCCTTCTAAAAAGGAAAATAGAAATTTATATTTAAGTATATTTGTATATTTCTTGATAATATTTCTTTATTCCTTGATTTGTCCTTTTATAAAAATAAGGAAATATAAAATTTTATTTGAAGAACGGAAAAAAAAATAAATCAAAATTAAAATTTGGATATTTTTTTAAAACACTTAAAATAAAGCCAAAATATTTAAAGAAAATATTTAAATTTTTCAGACCGCTTTCGGCCATAAGCCAACAGTGGTTTACTAACAAGTAATAACACTGTGTTACAATATGTTTATATAAACAGAGTGTGTTTAGAGATTTTAATTTTAAATTTTATATTTATATTTTAATTTTTTAATTTTAAAAACTTGCCTAATGTGTTAAATGTTAATATTCTTGACCAGTGCGATGAAAATTAATATAATATTAATTATACGAATAAAATTACTACTGTACCTTGACAGGTAAGTATATAAAAACACCATCTCTTTTTTGAATATATTGAAGATGGCTTATCGTTGAAAAGTCTATGCAAAATTATTCAAATACCTACAAGGAAATAGGTTTTTATTACTTTTTTTCTTATGTGGCTTTACTATTGAACTAGTTTAATAATAGTACATTATAGGCCAGGTGGAAAAAGCTTCCATTATAGCCGAGAAAAGTTAGTAAATTAATAAGCTTTCGCCGCCGAGTTTTATAAACTATTTTTTTCAAGCAATTAATTTTAATATTTCTTTAAGGTTTTATCACATCATTTTTAGGTTAGGTTTGACTGACATGATGACATTAATTAGCTTAATTTTTGTACAGTGATGTTGATCCGTAAAAAACCGATATTATAATCCGGGCTAATAAATATCTGATTCCACGTTCTGTAAATTTGTCCAAGCCGAATTTTTTATGTATATTTAAAAGTCCGAAAACTACAAAATATAATCATAATTGTTTTAATATTCTATATCTATAGAGTTATACAAATAGTTCATTTTAAATATTGTGATAAAATAATACGTAATGCACAAAATTAACAATTAGTTAATAAAAAGGATAATTTCAATAAATATTTCCAAACATTTCCAGTAGTTTTCTTTTTTTAATGCTAGGGTATTGCAGATTAAGTAAGTTAAAACTAATAGTTTAATTAAATGGTTAAAAAAGCTCTTAAATGTAATTTAAAAGCGTTATACGATATGAAAATTAATTTTGTCTGTAACATTAAAAGCGACGCATGTTTTCCTAACTCAATCAAGAAGGTGTCGTAAAACTAAACGACCTGCTGCTATCTTTATTAGTGAGCTTTAAGTGCATGCAAAAATGCTGCAACATTAATAACCTTCAAAAGCAATTACTCGTCCATTATTCCGGTTAAAATCGAATCCGGTAATTGTGCACTTGTACTAAGGCAATTTCTCTTTCTGGTCATTATTGTGAGACCACACATTCGAGTTTAATCAGTGCTCACTGTAAACTGCCTATTTTATTGGCAACACTCACATTGTGTTTTGTGATAAGCATCGCGGGTACATGGGTGAGACCAAGTCCGAGCTTATGCAGATCAGGTAAAAGTTTTAGATTGTTCCCGAAGAATGCATTAGTCGGACGCTTTTCTAAAACTTTTTTTTCGGGTTACAACGCCTTATTATCGGAGTGCACATGCGAATCAGGAAGTCTTCGTCGGGCAGGCGTTTTTACGCTCGTAAATTCAACTCCGAGATAAACGCCAAGAGGCCTCATGCTTTTTACTCAAATGTTACACAATTGCATTAAAAATGCGTGAAATGCGTTCCTAGTTATCCTGATAAAACAAAGAACTCGGCAAGAAATATTCTATAGAAACTATCATTAATTAGGCTTATTATTTCCGACAAACGTAACGAATCCTTAGCCTAAACTACCTAATTTAAAACAAGGAAAGTGGAAAATTACAGAAGCTATTGAATTATAGAAGTAAACAGACCAGAATATATTTGTATTTATAAAATATGATTAACATTAAAACATATATTTCTGCACAAACATTTGTTTATATTAGATACAATTTTAAGGATATCAATCTGAACTAACTTAAAATTTTCTAATATTAGGAATTTTCTAAATTTTAAAAATTTTGATAATCTTGAATATTTTAAAAATTTGTCCTGCCATTTTTTGAAAATTATGGGAAATTTAACAATTATAATAATTTTTGAACTTACTTTCTTAAAATGAATTAGTCAAAAATGATTAATTATAAGTCATATTTGACTAATTGTCATAGCGAAAAAGCAGTCCCTAATAATAAGTCAAATTCTACTAACTGAAATAGTCAAATTACTAGATTTAAATTTAAAAAAGTTTTGACCCAGCCGGGGATTGAACTCTGTCGCTTGTCAAGCTGTTGTCATAACCAATGTGGCTATCAGTCACTCTTATAAAAATCAATTTTATTTGTAAAGAAATATTGTTCATAATATTTTTAAATTGAATTTATTATTTGAGTTGCTGTTTTGAGCTAAACTTTTTGCATCTTTGTTTGTTTTTATGGGCCATTTAACCATGGAGCCTATATGCATTTAATTCAAATAATAATTTGTTGTTGGCCGCAAACGATTAAAGAAATTAGTTACTTTGAACTTTTAGTCAAAGATGGTGATTAACCTTAAATTAGACAAAATTTAACTATTTACGTACCGTAAATACGGGTGGCTTTGCACCCCGCGGGTGACTTTAACCCATTTATGAAAAATCTTTTCGCGCTCGATAAAATTAACATTTATAATTTGTTGGTCTAAACCTGTCAATTGAGCGATTCTATTGAGTTTATATTACAGGAAAATCAGTGTTTTAAAGAAAGAAATGGGATTTATTACACTTTAAAATTGTATATATCGTATCAGTGCAAAACTCTTAGAAATACACGCGTTACAATTTCTATATTATGCGCAATCTATTGGAATGATGATCCTTGGTTAACTACAGGTCGATTTTTTATTTTTTTTATTGGTAATCCCTTGCAATAGATATATGTCGCTGCTAACACGTGTCTAATAAAAATAAAATATAATATTACATTCATTTTATACTGAAAAAACACTGTGAGACAAAGTAACCCGCAACCAGGGGGTAACTTTGCACACCCAGTTTTTAATGTTTATTTTTGAAACTCAGCCCTATGTAATATTATAACATAGTTATTATGAAAGAGCAACTCAAGACTCAAATTTTGGTATACAAAATTTAATGTTTATGATTGTTAAAACCACAAAAATTTTAAGCTGAAGTTTGAAAGTGAGCCAAAGCCACCCATGTTTACGGTAGTAAAAAATAACTAGGTATTTAAAAGTGAAAACGACTATTTTATTAGTAAAAAATGCTGGTACTAATTCAAATAGCAGAATTTTGACTATTTCATTTTAGGAGAGTAAAATCTTGAAAATTTTGAAAATTTATCCATCATTTTTTATTTTATATTTAAACTGTGCGATTTTTTTCCAAAATTTTTAAATTGTGAAGTATTGTATTGGTATACCCCGTTCTCAAAAAAAGTCGAAAAAAGTTTATAAAAAGTCAATAATTGTCCCCTTTCCGTTCTGTTCTAAGAAATAACCTTCTCAACTTCTTCGTTTAACCGTTAAATACTTTTAAAAAAATGGCGAATGCGCCGGGATTTAAATCTTAGAGTGTACCAAGTTAACTCCTTGGTGATGAAATTTTAATAAACATTTTCTTAGCGGCTTTCGATATCATTATAGAAATGCAATGTTAATATTTCAGCCTTTTGGGTCCAGCGGTTGGGAATGAGGGTTAATGAATCAGTAAGGACATATAATTATATATTTATATTATATACACCTCGAAGGTGTTTGATCTACAGACCCTCAGAAATACAAAAAAAATTGTTAAAAAGATACAGTATTACATATTTACTTTAAATGGCAACACTGCCTACTATATATGTAAGAATATACAAGGTGTCCCTAAACTTATTGGCATAAATTTAGTAAAACATTGTGCAAGTCAAACTAAGACGAAAACCCAAATAAATATTTTTCCTAATTACTTATGTTTCCAAGATACAGGGTGATAAAGTGTTACTTATCATATTAGTTTTTTTAATATAACCTCTACTATGGTGGTCTTGAAAAGGTGATATTTTGCGAACAGTCACTTACTACCAAAACAAACTTATTTACACATAATTATAATTGTTTGAGTGAACACAGTTGTGTAGAAACGGGGGTTGCTTTAAGCTTATTGTCCAATACAAACATTGAGGTTAGGTTTTTATAACATTTGATGCAATTTTTAAATTACACAGTTCGGCTCCCATTAAAAAGTGTACCTCTCAAACTTCGATAAAATAAACCGTTTTCGAGATATTCGAGATTACAATAATTGTTATATCGCATTATTTAAAAGGATTAAAAGGTATGTGATAACAAATTTTATTTTTTAATTGAAAAAACTAAAAAGAGCATTCCATGAGCCTCGGGACTTTTCGCCCTGACCGTCACATTAAAAAAATTGTAGTCCTTTAATGCGATATTACAATTATTGTAATCTCGAATATCTCGGAAACGGTTTATTTTATCGAAGTTTGAGAGGTACACCTTTTTAATAGTAGCCGAACTGTGTAATCAAAAAATTGCATCAAATGG